AATCTTGTGGCCAGAGGTGCTATTTTCATCCAACGTCCGGCATACCACAGAGGATTCTAGGAGATGCTACCCCGGACAGAACTGGCTCGCGGCACGTACAAATGCAGTCCTCAAATCATATGTTCATAATCGATCAAAAAGTCCGATTATGTTGCAGTCTGGTGGGCATTGGTAACCTGAGGCAGCTTGAATTAACTCCTGGACTCGATTTGAGGTCTCTCGACTCTACTGGGAGTAGAACAAGGGAATAAGTACCCCCCTCCCGTATTACACATGGAATTGCAATAAATTGCGGGAGGGGGGTTAGGGTAAGTGTTAGGATTATGAGGGTTAGTGTTAGGGTTAAAATTGAAGACACGGGATTGGTACCCATCGGAACTTAGTGCAAGGTCACCTGTAGCACAGTGACCCCTATTACCCTGTCCAGCTTCACTGTGGGATTGGTAAGGATTACATGATGGCGACAAAAGTCAGGATGTTACTTGCTAATGATAGTTATCATCATGCGTTGCGAAGGATCCTTCACAAAAAGAGGACTCGGGTCAGCATGGAACGATACAAGGCCACTTTTATTATGCTAAAAAAAGATATTTTAAGCGCACAAAGTGAGACTGGCTTGACCGGAAAAGTTAAGCACTTGCTTACCCGTTATTCACTCGTAAGCGAGGCGTTGTGATCGCCGTTACTAAGTGCTCCCCGTCAGGAAGCCATGCAAGGTAGGTGGAGTTTTGGGCATAAAACTCACTCAACTTCGTCTGGTTGTTAAAGTCCCACACGGTGACAAAACCATTGAGACTACCAAATCCACCAGCGAGGAGCAGTAAGAGAGCGGCACAGTTAAGGAGCAACAGATGTTGCTGCTGGCAGATATGCAGTAGGCACATTTGTCACCGCAAAATTAACAAAAGAGTAAGCGACTCAAAAGGATATGGGTTCCGTGGGGGTTGAAATAAAGGTTATTGAAAGCACCACTTCCGAGAGAGAAGACCTGTTCACACTTGATGTTGAAGACCGTAACGACGGAAGGGATGGCTAAAAACACAAAAGAAAGGAGAAATATGACAAGCCGGTACCAAGCCCGCCTGGTACGATTATACATTTGCTACAGCATTCGAAATAACAATAAAACACCTGTGACTACCTATAGGTCAGTGTAGTAAGGATCGTAGGGCAAGCATCTGCATCTTCACGTTGAAATCGTGTTATAAAGTTACAATCACGTCAACTCGTTTTTAACGACAGCGTGCTCACTGTGCGAGACTCGTCAGTCTGTGCACAACTACCGACGGTATCCGAGACAGATTGAAAGAGACGGAGTAAATAGAAAAGGTCAATACATATTTCCTTCTGCTGATTAAGACCTGTGACGGCAACAAATAGAGGTACATGAATGTACAGGCAGCGCACATGGGTTACAGTTGAGTCAAGTGACATGTTAATTGTCCCATAGTGAAGACTTCCCACATTCGCCTTCATACAACTTGGTTTTTGTCGAGGTCTGTCTGAGGACGGCTAATAAGCTAGAAATAGCCGTTCCAGTTTCCCTTATCTTTGTCAGTAATAACATACTGCCTATATATATATGGGCAGACTGGTATTACCCACAAAGATCAGGGAGATCAGGGGCGTTTTTCCCAGTACCGCTAGTTGGTGTTCGGGTATTTTCATCTCGAGGCGCAGAGGTTAAACGTATGACCTCTATGAACCTGTAACCACTGCCTGAAGCAGTTGCTCTCATGCAGGGAAGATGGCTTCGGAAAGATGGCGAAGCCGGCAGTTCGCAAAAGTTTGAGAGACGGGAGAGACTAGGTGTCACCCAAACGCGGCTGTTGAGACAGCAGACAGTTCGACCGTCGATTTCGACGATGTCCACCGTGTGCCCCACAGACTACATTGTGGGAGCAGGGACGGTGACTTACGCAGGGGTTTATAGTGCCAGTAGACTTGCGTAGCATCTACCTACACTCTCTCCTCCTCCCCCGCCTGGGCCCGGTGTCAAGACAGAGTCAAGAAGACCGGAGACGAGGGAGGCCGCAGGTGGATGGCTCGGACGGATCCTCACCTTGGCGCTCCACTCCGCACCCCCTGGTCCACACACAAATGACCAGGATTTTGACCACAATACAATGGAGTGGTGGCAGTGGTCCAGTTGTGCGACGAATGCCGACAACAGGGTCCGCCAGCGCACCCCGCAAATGTTGGCATTGGTTATTGCGCACAGATAACGCCTGCCAGAGTCCGATGTGGCCCCCGTGTTGGTCCAGCGCATCTAACACGTGGCCCGTTCTGAGGGCACTGAGACAGCAGAAACACTGGTTAACGGTCATAGACTCGGATTCTCAAGCACAACCCAGTGGTGCACGGACTAGACCCAAGGTTGTAAGCAGCAATCTATGTCAATCAAGTGGGACATATTTCCAAGGTTGACCGAGTCTGAAGTCGAAATTATGATCACACGACAGCGAAACTGCGGGAGGCGTAGTATCGCGGCGATCTCTGGATCAATCGGTCTGCGGAATGCTTGGCTATGCGCTACTATCCCGACAGAGTGAGGTAGGATGTCACTGCCTGGCCCGCCAATTTCAACCGTGGAAACCAGTCGAAGTGTGGTAGCTTTTATTAAATATTTGCGCACAGAGGTCAGCGAAAAGGGATGATAAAAGACTATCGGTATAATCTGAGTCTATACTTCGGCCTCAAAACGTCTACGGCAATTCGATCATTGGAAGGAGACCACCGCCTCAGATACACTGTGTGCGTCACGGTCTTTATTGGAGAATCTGAAATCGCCTTGGCCCCTCTTCGAGTGGCACTCAGTCCTAAACCAATTCTGAAACATTCTCTAAATGTCGGCCCTTTCTGTTTACCTTCCCTGAGATGGGACAAAGCATGACTGACGAGGTTAACATATCTACAGAGTAGTAACTATACGAGTGATCGTTAAATTGCAGATTTTTGTTGTACTATAGGCGCCACATTCTGTGGCACTGTCTTTAACGGATGGTAAATTATGGGTGCTGCAGTGATGTGAGTAGCACGCAATACATACAGCCTTGGCAGACAACAAAGCGCTCATCTGAGGGCCGTTCTCGGGGTCCTGAGGGTTTCCACACAACTTGGTGAATTGGACCCTTGCGCGGCATCGGCACAGATGCACAATCTCCGGCCTGGCTGGTCGTGATGAAGTGTAGCATCTGCTCGCCGTAGTAGCTCGTATCGCTGGTCTAAACCATAATAGAAATATATCTGTATAATAATTGTTACTATATGAAATTAAGTAGAACAGGCGACCTCGACTAAAATGACTTACTTTTGTCGCGGCCAATACGAGCAGGTTCCGGCCGGTATCACTCCAATGAAGGCTCACAGTGTCCGCGCGGAAAAAAGACTTGTTGGCCAGTGGGATACATTCACCATTACGCCAGGCATATACACATACCGTCGAAGGATTGCTCTATATTAGGAAGTGATAAAGAAGTGAAAAAATGCCACGATTAATTGTCGATGGAGGTTCCTCAAGCCTTCTGGCTAGGAAGGACATAAAGATGTCGGTGAGTGATAGCCGCGGATTTAGTCATCTGCAATGCAGCTTGACTGTATGAACACATAGATTCGGACGGATGCCAACGTTACCCTGGAGAGAAGAGAGGATTGGCAACAAAGGTCTGTCCGTTAGCCTAGCTCCTAAATGACAGGCGAATAGCGGAAGAAGCCCCGATGAGGGTTACCTACGTAGTAAAGACTCTTACGTTTAAAGAGCCAACAGCGGCGGACCAGCAACGGAAATGCTACTAGGGTGTGGAAGGTTGAGACCTAACACGATGACTGACGACCAAGGCAACATAAAGCAAACAATCTGAGCGGCTACTTGGGAACCTGCCTGCACCAGAAATTTTCAAGGCGGTTAGACGAAATATGCGCAAAATCATATCCATTTCAATTAAACGAATTACTGCATGATGGACGAGTTTGATTTTTTGACAAAAAACAAACACCAGGGTGAGTATCTCACTCTAAAAAATCTACCCGTCCAGTCTACTCAGGCTTCTCAAAGCATATCACAATGCCAAAAATCTAATCAGATGAAGTAAATTAGAGTATGGAAAGAACTCCTGTCATCACTGAAATGAAAGCAATAGGAAGGGAAAGAAACATGAAGTCACAAACTTTCCTCTGCGTCACAGCCCCTTCTCAACACCCCAGCCAAAAAACCGTGACGCGGTTCAGCGAGCGTACCTTTTTACCGGGAACGTAGACGGCCAGGTTGCGATTGATCGAGGATTTGGCTAAGGAACAGTGGCGCATTCCGGGGAGCGACAGGGTTGTACATGATTTTTCATCTAAAAATTGAGTAATTCACAAAGTATAGGCAAGTGTCGCAGTTAGTGGAGAACAGAAACAACGGTTTGGGGTAAAGGGGTACCATACTAACAACACACGTATTAGCCAAAAGCCCATACACGCGTGTTTCGCCGATATTCTGCCGACGTATGACACAGCTGCGAGGGGTTCGGCGCATCGGTGGGTCCCCCAGCATTCCCCGTCTGCTTTCTGGTAGATACTCCAATTTAGAATTTGTTGTTTTTTAATGTCCTCAGAGGTTAACTGCGAACTTGGAGTACATCAATATATTCTAGGTCTATGGGCTCAAACCGAAGTATTTATGTATAAATATTTGGGCCGAAGTTCATCAGCCACAGCGGGTAACCGCGCAATAATCATCAATTGCCTGTGCTGTTAGAATGGCATCCCTTTAGCCCAAAGTATACGACTAGCTGCCTATCGGCAGTTAATGAATATTACGCGATTACCCGCTGTGGCTGATGGACTTTGGCCCAAATATTTACATAAAACCTCAGTCGGAGCCTATAGACCTAGAATGAAGTGATCTACTACAATTTCGCAGTTAATTTCTGAGGAAATTAAAAAGCTGTAAGGAAACAATGGGCCGGGGAAAAGTAACTTCTGGGACTAGTAAAAGAGCAATCCCAAAAAGGACCTCCATGTCGTATTGGGAAACAACTTTGAAGGGCCTTGTTGTCTAAGTCACCATCGTAATGTTTCTTGCGAAACGTAATTAATCTAAAAATGCGATGGAGAAGTGTGCAGGGGCTCAGCTCGAACGCCGGTCCACAGCGCACCGGAGTCCGCAAGCCTCTTGCCGTGAAATTTTGAAATGTACTTCCCAACGGTCAAGGAATGGTCGCATTCCATGAACTGAATAAGGGATCGCTTAGCTCAGAAGAACTCTATGTGCTTAAACTTACGGGGCATTATAAATCGGGTGTTACGCAGGATCAGAGGCTGCGGACTTTCACTGCGATATGTGTGAAGAACAAGAAGACATCTGGCTAATGAATTTCACAAGTGTGAGACGTCTCAATGTCCTCAGCAAATATTAACCAAACACTTCAACGTCCGGAAACTAATATATTTGTCATGGCCTTATACTCGGCCATCCGAAAGGTTTCCACCGCCTTCGCTATGCCCGGTTTTGACACACAAAATGTGTATACAATGCAAAATTGGCTGCATGACCTATGTGCTGTTATGCACGTACTTTCACACTTTCCAGCATATATTAAACTCCATTTAATGGATATGGAAAGGCGTCATTTTCGAATCCTAGCACTTTATAAGTTAAAAGTGGGAGGGGGGGGGTATTGTGACAATAGCGACTACGGTGCGTAGCATATAAAAAATTAGTAGGTGTTTTGGCAGATTTGAGTAATTCATCTGACCCATCTGTGAAAAACACGGCAGTCTTGGCGGGACTACGAAAGCAGGCGCAAGGCCTGTGTACAGCCAACGCTCCAATCACCTGAGCTACGAGGCTGTAGCCGGGAGCCAGGGCTGAGGCAACGATCGCATGACAAGGCGGGACATTCAGGTGGACACTCAACTAACCAACAAACCGACCAACCTGCACCGTATTTGGCTATGAGCTCTAGTCCCCCTAAGGTCGGACAGGATGTCACTGTCAGGCCTGCCAGCTGCAGCCGCAACAATCAGTCAGCATGTGACGGCGCAGAGGTCGGAGAAAAAGGCTTCTTAAAGATCCTATTGATGGGATGTGAGTCTGAGTTTCTGCCAAAAAATACCTTCAACTCGGCCATACGCAGAAGACCTCTAGCTGCAGACAAACTTCGAACAGCACAGCTTTAACTGACAAAGCTGGAATTCACACGGTCCATTTCAAAATACACCCTTAACACCAACCCTTTCTGTTCTCTGGCGCTGAGATGGGACAAGGCATGCATAACGAAGTTAACATATTGCGGGTAGCCAAAACCCACTGCTCTGACGAAACAAGTTATCGAGCAGAAATGAAATACCTCTACAAACTGTTCTCCCAAAATGGGTACCCGCATGACTTTATACATCAATGCATGAGGCACCAGCAACTCAAGGGAAAAGGTATTTCCAATGCTACGGTCACACAGGCACAAAAACAAACCACATGGCGAACTCTCCCATACGTCAAAAATGTATCTGAACTTGTCGAAAGACAATTTAAAAAGTACCAGATACACGTAGCACACCAGCCGGCAACTACCTTACGCACACAGCTTGTGCACCCTAAGGACAGGGTCGGCTACCTCGAAAGAAAAGGTGTCGTCTACAAAATCCCGTGTTCTAGTTGTGATGCCGTTTATTGTGGCCAAACTGGGAAATCTGTCTCAACCCGTATACATGAGCATCAGTTAGCGGTGAAGAGACGTGACCATCTATCCCAGGTGGCCATGCACACACTAGACACTGGGCATAAATTCGCATGGGAGAACACTCGCATTGTTGGCGCCTGCCAAACAAGAAAAGGCCGCGAATTCCTGGAGGCAATGCACTCAGATGAGGCATGCAACAACCGGCATATCGATTTAGATGCCGCATACAAAATCGTTAAGGACAGATTCAAACTGAGTCAGCCAATCCCGAGATGAAAACCTTAACCAATCATGGACTCCTTTTGCTAGACTCAGTCTAAAAGTTAATTGTTTTTGCACACCCGTTGTCTGAAGACGAGCTGGGGAACCAGGCTCGAAAATTCACAATAGAATTTTGCCGTTTCCCAAAGAACTTCACCTTTCTAAGCATATATATATATATATCAGCGAGGAGGGACGACAGAGAATGCGGGTAGATTGATACAGCACTGTTTCGGGCTTATTCTGCCTTCATTCAGCCAATCATAACCCTGACCACCAGCAGCTGAGACCAGAAACACAAACATGCGCACAGACGCACCTGGCGCAGTCGGTCCACCACTGAGGCCTACCAGATGGGTCATAAGCACTTCATCGAACCGAAGTTCATCAGTGCCTCGCCACCTGTCATTCTCTGTCGCTGCAGATCGGGTATTTATCAATCAGGAATGGGCGCACACCGATCTATTGGCTTCACAAAGCAAACAAGCTCCGTATGTGTGGCAAAGGTCACGAACAGGCAACCAATTACCAGGCCGAAGTCGGCCAAGTCATAATAGCAGCGAGGAGGGACGACAGAGAATGCGGGTAGATTGATACAGCACTGTTTCGGGCTTATTCTGCCTTCATTCAGCCAATCATAACCCTGACCACCAGCAGCTGAGACCAGAAACACAAACATGCGCACAGACGCACCTGGCGCAGTCGGTCCACCACTGAGGCCTACCAGATGGGTCATAAGCACTTCATCGAACCGAAGTTCATCAGTGCCTCGCCACCTGTCATTCTCTGTCGCTGCAGATCGGGTATTTATCAATCAGGAATGGGCGCACACCGATCTATTGGCTTCACAAAGCAAACAAGCTCCGTATGTGTGGCAAAGGTCACGAACAGGCAACCAATTACCAGGCCGAAGTCGGCCAAGTCATAATAGCAGCGAGGAGGGACGACAGAGAATGCGGGTAGATTGATACAGCACTGTTTCGGGCTTATTCTGCCTTCATTCAGCCAATCATAACCCTGACCACCAGCAGCTGAGACCAGAAACACAAACATGCGCACAGACGCACCTGGCGCAGTCGGTCCACCACTGAGGCCTACCAGATGGGTCATAAGCA